TGGAGTGCCATGCTTCCAGGAATTCTCGTGCTTGTCTCTGCCTAGCCTGTCCCAGGATCTTGGTGTTGTCCCAGTCGAAGTCGTGGTTCTCCTTGTCCGTGTGGATTGAGATGAGTGAGTATTGGTCGTGTCCCTGGGACAGGCTAGGCAGAGACAAGCACGAGAATTCCTGGAAGCATGGCACTCCATGAAGCAGGCTATTAATAAACACACTGAACTCGACCCCATATACATTCCACTACGGAGGAAACCCGGAAGTGATGCAATCCATCGCAACGGACCCCAGAGTTTAAAAACCAGGCGGGAAAACACACCGACGCTTCATCAGAGGCTGCACTGAGGATGTTACCAAGCACGGTAACGAAACGTCTGCGGAACAACAAACCAGCTCGGCGAGCCAACCAACCTCAAAATCAGTATTTAGTTCAGAGTACTGTCTTTGCATATGGACAGCACATTGGCCTGTTTGCAATTGACTGGAGTGTGGGGCATCTGTAGTTGGTATCCAATAATTCTCTCATACTGGTTGTCCACATTCAAAGAAGGGAATAATTCTGATATCAGATGCACATCTGTTCAATAAAAAAAATCTAATGTAATTGGTGATCAGAAGGAAGTTTGAAGTGTCTCTGTAGAGTAATAACCTATTAGATAGAAGCCAACATTGATTCAGAAGAGAAAGATTATGATTAAAAAACCTCCCAATGTTTTTGATGAACTAAGTGAACTGTGAAAAGTTCTTTAATTTGGATTTGAGCAGCTTTTTGTCAAAGTCTGGCAAAAAGTCTTCAGTCAAACTCAAAGTTGTGGCAGGCGGGGTGGCGTGGGGCAATAATTCAGAGAAAGCAGTTTAGAAATGTTAGAGAATGCGTTGCACCATGTAAGTATGAATAAGTATAAATACGGATTTCAACACCAGCTCAGGGGACACCACCTCTTCTACTAACTGGGAATTTTACAGCTCTCTGAACTCAACTTTGCATTTAACAATTTAAGAACTTCATTGTCCATTCTGATTCATATCTTGAGTCCTGTTTTTCATGGCTTTGCATTCGGCAGAGTGTCTGGTATTCTGCCATTCATACTTACTCTGGACAAATGCCCTTTGCCCTTTGTTCCATCATATCTTTTTCATTCAATCTCTTCCACCACTGACCCGATCCCAGAACTTCCCTTTTGTTCTTAGTACTAATCCCTTCCTCTCCCTTTCAAGGCTACAGAGGCCACTATATTTTTACCTCCATTTAGTTCTGTAGAAGAGCTGTATTTGACTTGAAAAGTTAACCCTGTTGCTCTTTCCACCCAAACAAAAAGTAACCAAAGAACTGTTGATGCTGGAAATCAGAAACAAAATCAGAAATTGTTGGAAAAACTCAGGTCTGGCAATACCTGCGGAGAGGGAAAGCAGCGTTAATGTTTCCGGCCCAAGTTTTTCCAGCAATTTCTGATTTTGTTTGCTCTTTCCACCTAGGTCCTGAGTATTTCTCGCATTTTCTGCTTATAAAGTGTATATCTGAACTGTGTCTCTTAAAATTTGATGACACTTGCTCCTGAAAATTTTTGCTTCACTGTAACAAATGCAACATATATTTGAGAAGAAATCAGCTGAAGTCCAACCTGTTTAAACTGAAAATAGGGGCTGCACTGACCATCCTAGCAGCAGAAAAGAGGTTTAGTGATGATTAGTGCATTTTTACTTATTTGTTAAACAGGGAAATATAGAAACTAGAAACAGGAGTAAGCCTTTTAAACCTTCAGCTAGCTGTACCATTCAATGTGATCATGTCATTTTCCTGCTTTCACCCCATACCCTTTCTTTGATGCCTTCAGAATGTAAAATACATCAATCTCTTTTTGGATATATTCAATGATTAGCCTCCACAGTTTTTACAGACTTCTAGAATTCACTATCTTTTAAGTGAGGAGACTTCTCCTCATCTCAGTCTTAAATGTCCTACGACCCTGTATCCTGAGACTATCCCCCTAGTTCTGGATTCCCAATCAAGAAAAACATCCACAGTGTTCCAGGCCAGCTATAAGGTTATACATTTCAATCAGATTCCCTCTCACCCTCTAAACTCTAGTGAATACAGGCTCAGTATTATTCAATAAATATATATGGATGCAACAATTCTGTATATGACAAGTATCAAGGCAGCTTGCAAACCAGAAACGCTGTTGCTGTGAAGGAAGTACATAGGTAAAATGGTTGATTAATGCTCGAGACAGCCGCTTTAACAGTGGTGATAAGAATTAATGGATTGAAATCACACTCAGAAATTAAGTGATGCCATTAATACTCTGAAAGGTTAACAAGCTGAATTGTTAACATGCCATGTGAACTTAAAGGGACATTGTGGACTGGCTCTCCATCAAAGAAACCAGCCAATGTTCACTTACACTAAAATCAATGAGAATCAAAGAAAGATCATGTGGGCAGTTTATTGCACAGCTTTACACTCAAACGTTAGGTTGGCAATCGAGCCCAAGGCATCAACTTGATTTAAAGAAGAAATTGTTTCAGGTATTAGCAAGATTGAGATGACAATTCATAAGGTCCTTGACTGTTACATGTCCATTTCACTGAGTTAAAAACCCACCTCTGAATGGTGTTCCTCATTCTGCTGAAGTACCTCAATGCACAGTTCAGCCAGTCGAATTACGTCTTCCAATCTTTTGGCGGGGGCTCTTTGGCTTAAGGTCTCTATTGTCAAATAAAAATAATTTCAGTCCATCTGTTTATTGCTGTATAACATGCTAGAGTAAGAAAAACTTTAATATAAAACTGCACAAGGAACAGCAAGTTATTAATGAATCACAGTATTGTTTTAATGTGCGTGGAAATGCAGGGAATTTTAGTATAATCAGCGAAAAGCTGCTTGTTTATTTGGATGTGCTAGAGAGCTGGACAACATCGCCATGTAATCTTCAGCAATAAGCCTCCTTCTTCCAAACCTAATTCCTCCAACACCTAGGATAAGATAAGCAGATACAGGGGAATATTACCAACTGCAAGTTCTCCTCTGAGCCACACAACACCCTGACTTTGGAATTCTGTTCCTTAACTATCATTGATCCCAAATCCTGAAGCTCTCCTCCTAACAGCACTGTAGGTATAACTACAACTGATGATGCATCTTAATTTTCAATTTCGAGGTGGGTCATCGGAGTCAGGAGAATTCTTAGGGTTTGCATGCCTGCTTCAGGATAAGGAACCTGGAAGGACAGGATCTCGGTGCCAGGGGTCCTGTGTAGGCTGTAGTTGGCCCATCTAATTCAGGAAAAGGTCTGAGGCACCCACTGAGGACAACTGGGTGTCAAAGCAGGCAGTTTAAAAGGCCTGCCTTAGTGCTGTGGGACTTCATCCAAGGTGTAATGAAAAAATAAGGTCTTCTTAGCCCTTACCACTCTCACTGACTCACTCCCTACATGCTATCCATGGTCACTCATGACTATCATGCCAGGTTTGACTCTCAGGCACCCTTCCACATGGAGCCAATAGTGACAATTAGATGTCTAAAATATCATTAATTTTCATTATATTAGAAGTAGTTTTTTTTTTAACACCAGCGCAATAAAATTTTGAATCATTCAGACCATTTCACGTCAATTGCAAAAATTGCAATTTAACTTTTTGTTAATAAACATTGTGCAATTGATAAAAGAGATCAGAGAGCCAGTGCTGTCAATCAAGCAATGTTTTTCCTAGGGCTCAGCTGTGTTAACAATCTAAAGGTTGTCTGCGCTCTCAACCAAGCCTGATAATGCCTTCTGTAGTGAAACTTATTTTTTTGTAACATGGTAAATGTACTGAATAAATGAATGAATGACTGTTTTTAAAGTTCTGTTTTAAAATACAGCCTATTGCCCCTACAGGGTCCATTGATTCTGTAGAGTCTATAGTTGGTGAAAGGTCAATTAAGTGCTTTAGGTACTTAAAGGCGGCATGATGGGCCATGGGGCATGGGCGCAGAGCAGAGCCTGCAATGAGGAGGATCTTTAAACCTACATTCCAAGGTTCCTTCATGCAGACTATGTTTCATGATGCCTCTGAAGTGCTATGAATCAGGACTCTTTAAAAAGCTGTGCCATCTCAATGGAAACTGCGGAGGAATAGGGCATGCCTATCTCCAGAACAGGCCTAGTCAGGTCCAAATTGCTGCCTGCTGGTAGGCAAACAAAACCAGTCTGCACACTTAAAAAAAGTTACCATCTCAGTGAAAGTTTAGACCATGGTCACTGACCAGTTAGAGATTGATAGGAGTCAAATTACTTTCTGTGTGCCGGCCATTGCTGTTCCTAAAAGTCTGAATGAAGTACGATGGATTATCTCATGTAGCTAAGCAAGTGAGTGTGCAGCTCTATGTTGTTGCTATTAATGAGAGGCATCTGTGGATAACAAATGAGCTCATTTTAAAGATCCCTTTCATTATCTTGGAATGAAGCAAAATATTTAATAACTATGGTCCTATTGATTGGTAATAGAAATATTTCTCCTAAAGTGCAGGTTGGCTGTAGGTCTCGCAAAGTAGATTACACAGCTGTATAACAGTACATTGGGTGAATCAGTCTGGAAAGGCAGTTCTGTTCCATTTGCGTCTGCTGCCTTTATACTGCAAAGTGCAGTTAGCTTTCCATTGGCTCCATATGGTCACCCCAGTATCCATTCTTTTTCATTTTTACCTTTTTTTTATTAAATCTAGTCTGAAGCAGGAATGAGCATTAAAGCACTGTACAGGCTTGTTTGCAGCAACAGGAAGTGAAGAATGCAGCTTGGAGAGTTCTGGTCAAAATGCACTGACAGACTTTTGCTGCTCATTTGAAATGGGCAAGTTGCATGCACCACATGTGTGGTGCAAGGAGTCAGAAAGGTCAAAGGCCCTTCTACTATGCAACAATCTGAATGAAATCCAAGCAACAAATACAGTCCTTGCACAGTCCTCTTGTAGGAAAGGGCATGTCAGGAACGTAAACTTTTAGCTCTAAAGGAAAGGGGCAGTGTGTTGAGGTGACCCAATTTCCATCCCTTGCATACGTACTTCCCAATGACAAAACTACTTTTCCTTCACAGCAATTTCCCAAGAAACACAACAAATTGCTCATCATAGATGAATTTCTGGAAGTTACAGTCTACGACTGTGAAAGCTTCCATTACCAACATCATGCTAAAAGAAGTACTGTTGTGCCATTAGGTTATTAATAACATATGACTCCACACACAATGGAATATGGAAGTTTAAATCTAAATGCACAAAATTACCTTCTATTACACCTAACCATCATTGTCTTTCACTTGTCATTAAAATGATCACTTTTACTCCAACTTTCTTTGGTCCATCTTTATTTTATATGGCCTCCATCAGTTGGAAGCAAAGGACATTCTGGATCTCAAATGCTTTCCTTCTGTAAGGTGGGAGTGATTCGTTCAGTGCTTTGCCTATCCTGCTTGACGCAAGGCATTTTGCTGATTCATGGCCTTTTAACTAGATGTTTCGTTCAGAGCAGGATAATCTCATCCAAATCAAATCTAAAATTGTAGTGACTTTGTTCCACTTCACTGGTAGAGACCTAAGCACTATCTCTTCTGCCAATGTAACTGTTTCATCCTCCAATGGGAGGCTTGAGCACAATGACAGGTGCAAAAGAAAAAGAAAGATCATCCTCGATTTTATCCCATCAAGAGGAATGTGGGTTTCAAGTAATAGAAAGAAATTGCAGTTTCTTAATGGTGATGTTAGCTGAATGGCTTCCCACATATATTACAGAGAAACATCACTCATTACCACAATTATTTATGAGCTGTAATGAGCAGGAGTAAACCATTCAGCCCTAGCATCTGCCCATTAGATCACACAGCCTGTCCTGTAACCCCTCTCAAGCAAAGGTCTAGTCTTGAAAGCTACAATGGTCTCATCTTCTCCAGCAATTTGAGGGGAAAAGGCTTAATGGTTTCACTTTAATTTTTAGATTATATCCCCCCCTCATTCCTGTTTCACAGACCATATAGGTTTCATGTATCTATCTTATGACATTATTTTAACATTTTAAATGTCTTGATCAGATCTGTCTTTCCTATATAAAGGGAAATTAATTTTCAAAGGAACTGCTTGTAAAGTTGAAACATGATTAATAAAGTGTCACTGCATTTCTGTTTCTGACAGATTTGAATCCATAAAACAGGCTAAACAAATATTGTCTCATTAAAATATCTAGCTTCAGTTATATATTGATCATTAACCTCCTGACAGTGTAAGAAAATCTGTCTCAATTTGTGGTTAAGACTGTAATAGAATTTCTGTGTAAAAGTCTCACAAAACTAGAATTCTTCAGTTTATAGTAATTTGACAATATTCCTTAACTCTTTGAGATCATAGGAAATAGAAACAGGAGGTAATATAAACTTCTCAAGCCTCATTCATTAAGATAATGGCTGATCCTCTCCTTCAGCTTCACGTTCTTGTACACTACCTGTATCATTTGATAACTGGAAATTGCAGTCTTAAATACACTGAAGTAACTTGAGAGAGGCCGGTATCCCCTCACCAAGTCACCTTTAATTTACATATGGAGAGTCCTTGACACTGGTCCAGCTCTCAAAGTGATCAGGATGTGTGATACACCCGCGTATATCTGTCAGCCAGGGGCCCCTGATTGGACCAGGTTAACGGTCCCTATCAGGGGACTCATATTCTATGAGGTCTACCTGGCTCACTTTGTTACAATCACTACATACACTTAATGATGTCCACAGCCACAATCTTGTGTGCAAGGTGGTTCCAAAGCTTCACAACACTCAGGATGAAGAAAGTCCTCCTCATCTCAGCCCTAAATGATCAGTACCTTGTTCTGAGACAGGCCTCCATGTTCCGGATTCCTTTGGCAAGAGAAACAACCTTGAAACGTCTACCCTGTCAAACCCCTGTAGTATATTTTATATTTCAAGGAGATTACTTCCCATTCTTCTAAACTCGAGAGACTGTAGGTTAACTTAGCCAATGTTTTATAATCGGATAACTGTCTCATACTAGGAAACCATCCAGTAAGCCTTTTCTTTACTGCATTCAAAATATGCTTATCCTTCCTTAGGTATGGAGATGAGAAATATACACAGCAATCAAGGTGTGGTCTCATAAAATCACTTTCATTTAAAAATTGTGGAATACAAACTGGTTTTCTCTGAAAATGGTATCTCTACTGATTTTCAATGCCATCAGAGAGGCATGAAGATGCCTAATTTCCCAAGTTTTTGCTAATGATAGCCAACTAGACACTATCTAGTGACACTCAAGCCATCATGGCTCACTTACTGGAGGGACTTAGCTCACCTTACCTCAGCTGTGAAATAAAGACCTGCAGATGCTGGTGATCTGAAGCAAACAAATGCAGAAATCACTGGAGAAACTCAGCAGGTCTAGCAGCATCTGTGAAGGGAAAACAGTGTTAACAGTGAGGGTCCAGTGACCCTTCTTCAGAACATTCTGAAAAAGGGTCATTGAACTCAAAACATGAACTCTGCTTTCACTGCACAGATGCTGCAAGTCCTGTTGAGTTTCTCCAGCAATTTCTGCATTTGTTTGTTTTTGACTATTTAGTTATTTAAGAATTATGGCTTCTAATACATATTATCATTACTATGCACTAAATTTTTAGTTCAATTTGTGACCAACATTCTTTTCAGTTCGTAGTTCTCAAAAGCAGCCTGCT